CCCGCCCGCGCCCCGCCGGGCCGCGCCCCCGCCCCCCATGCACCACCTCCTGGAGCAGTCAGCGGACATGGCGACGGCGCTGCTGGCGGGCGAGAAGCTGCGGGAGCTGATCCTGCCCGGCTCGCAGGACGACAAAGCGGGCGCGCTGGCCGCGCTGCTGCTGCAGCTCAAGCTGGAGCTGCCGTTCGACCGCGTGGTCACCATCGGCACCGTTCTGGTCCCCATCCTGCTGGTCACCCTGGTCTTCACCAAGAACTTCGCAGGTGAGGCGGGGCGCGCGTCCGCAGGTGTCCGGCGCCGGGCGCTCTCACGCGCCGGCTCTCCGCCCGGGGGCTGCGGGCTCCAGCCGGACCGCACCCACCTGGCCAGTGTGGCATAGGGCCCCTTCGCCCCCTTCTCACAGACCCCGCGACCGCACCCCACCCTACCATGGGGGATGGGGCGGCCGAGCCGCCGAGAGCCCTCCTCTGTTTTATTGTTGTTTTACTTTGTATCCTTTCAGCCAGAGGAGGGTAGTAGGCCTGTCCTACACCTGCTGGACCCCGGTGTAAATGGGACTAGGCTCTGGGCTCTGGAATGTCACAGTGGGATCTGAGGCTTGGAGAAGTAGCCAGGTGAGGACCAGAGAAGGATGTTACAGGTGTGGAGAGCCACCGCCCAGGGATGGGGAAACCGCATGCTGTTGCACAGTGAGGAGCTCTGAAGTCCAACCCCCCACACCCAGTGGAGGCACTTGGGAGCCTTTCCTCTGTAGAGGAGACAGGGAGGGTAAAAGAGTGGCCCTGCAGGGCTTCAAGCAGTGATGGCCCAAGAGGCCACCCATGCCTAGAGAAAGCAGTGTGGATGGAAGATGGGGCAGATCAGGGCAGAGTGGATGAGTTGAGATGTTAGGTCAGTAGAACTGGGCCTGGTTATATGAGGGAGCATGTGGGGGACTCTAGTCATACTCTGGAATGTACAGATCCATGGTGGGTCCTGCCTAAGGCGAAGTCACATTAACAGAGCGGTGAGCCAGTCTTGAGCACTGGAGAGCTGACATCTGGTGCACACAGAGACAGGAAATGGCATCTCCCACCTGAGGCAAGGACACAGGCTCAGGTATCCAAATCTATGGGTCTTATAGTGGCCCAAAAGTGTCAGTTCATAGCAGGAAGGCAACTGTCAGGGTTCCTGTGTTTCTCTCCAGGGGTGCAGATGGCTGTGCCCTCTGCAGCTACTGGACAACAAGAACAGATGTCTTGACAGCGAACTTCAACACCGTCCTCCAACTTTCAGTAAACCCTGGACCTGGAGATATCCGTCCTGCATGCGGGCATCCTTCAGCCTGTTTAAGATCATCCCAAGGGTGGAGAAGGTTCAGCTGGTCTCACCCCACGGACACTGGTGTCCGAAGACTCTGACACTCAAGATTAGATGCCCCTACTGGCAGGACAGAAGTCCTGGTGCACAACAGGGCCTCAGGTCATGCTCAGGTGTGTGCAGAAAGGATGGAGGGGCTTTTGGTCATGTTGGGTAACTGACTTACAAGAGCAGATATATATGACTCACAGTGCTGGAGGCCAGAAGTCCAAAATCCAGGTGTGGGCAGGGCTGAGCTCCTGCTGAAGGTCCTAGAGGAGTACAAGAATCCTTCCTACTTGCTCAGCTGGGGGCTGCAGGCCAACCCTGGTATTCCTTGGCCTGTGTCTGCATCACTCAAGCTGTGTGTCTGTCTGCCTGCTGGGCATTTCCCTACATCTGTGTCCCTTGAGTCACAAGGACACAAGGGTCAGGGCTCACCCTACTCTACTCTTGTCTCAATTCAGTTACCTCTACAAAGGCTATTTCCAGTCAGTGTACAGGAACAGGGCTAGGATTTTAGCAGATATTTGGGGGACACAGCTCTACCTATGACAGACTTACTAGGGCAGGCTCAGATGTGAGTACACACATGGACTCAGGGCCACCGTTGGTGGTCTAATGTGTCACTCCTATACTCAGATACTGTCAGCCCAGCTCATCACTTGTAGGGTCTCTAGACACCCTGTATCCAACTGGGCCTGCTCCTTACAGTTCCCTGTGCTTGCCCACAGAAATACATGGGCCCCCTTGGGGCATACATGTCCAGGCCCTTACATCCATGCTGAGCTGGGCCTACCACAAGTGTGAGGAGGGGTCTCCAGCATGGACAAGGCAGGTCCCTGGCCCAGAGTAGCAGCTATGCTTGGCCAGAAGAGCTGTTTGTAAAACATTAAACCCAGGCGAGCTGCTCTTCCTAAAGGGTGTGTTGAGACGCTATGAACAGCCAACCTTAACCTTAACCCTTGCTTTCTCCCTGCACATTTTTGAAGCCTTGATTGCTTTTCTTCATGACTTTGATCAGTGTCCAAGACAGCACAGTTGCTTCCTGATTCTCTTCAAAATCCTTGTGCCTCACAGAACCTAGAAGCATACAGAGTCCCCAGACACAAGACAAATCAGGTGTAGGGAGAGGATGGTTAAAGAACCCTCCTCCTAGAGCCCTGTCAGTTTGTGGAGACCGCTGGTAAAAGGTAAAATTGTAAGAGGAGGGACAGAAGCATACCTAGGACCCTGTGCCGGTACTCTGAGTGGTGACTGCCTGGAGGATTTTGGACTACTGGCCTCCAGAAGTATATTTCTGCCGTTGTTAACCACCCACCCAGGTGGTGGTACTATGACCAGTGTGACCAAGACCCCTCCATTCTTGTCTGCTCAAGGCCCCACTGTGAGCTGGGTCTTCTGTTCTGCCTTTGGGGGCATCCTGAGTGTGAGAGGAGGAGGTTGTGTGGATGCCCTCTAGGATGATCCTGCCCTCCATCACAGGTTGTTGGTTAAAATGAACCAACCCTCTTGGGCTCAGCACTGCTGATTCCCATCCAGCAGAGCTCAAGGCAGAAGGGGTGGCCTCAGGAAGTCTCACATAACTCCTGTCTGGAGACCAGCTGGTGACAAGGCCAGGACTACTGTGAAATAGTAGTAAGCTGACTCAAGCAGCATGGAGTTAGCACACAAAGCCCAGAGGTACCAAAAGGGAGAGGTGAAGAGCCACCAGATCCCTCACATTGCCCAGATCCAAACTGGGAGTCCAGCAGCTGCTTTTTCCTAAAATAGCCTAATAATCAGGTCCCAGGGCTTAGGGCTGATATCACCTGCGTATGAATGACCTGCCAGCTCACCGAAGTGGGGTGCTGTCCAGCACTGTGTCCCATGCTCAGCATTCTTCCAGAAGAAGGAAAAGCAGAAGTGTGCTGCGATGGGGAGTGTAGGTAGGACCTGCAGGCCTTGGGGTCTGCACCTGGCCACCGATGGCTCCCTAGACTCCACAGTCCAGCAGAGTAGGTCTCTGGGGTGGGCCTGTGAGAAGTGGAGGCACCTCCACACACCAGCTCATCCTATCTCCTCCGTGGCCCCTGAAGGTCAACCCTTTCCCTCTCAGGTGTAGGTACCACATCTGCAGCGTCCATGGCACCCACTGGTAACCCTCCATGTTACTCTGGGAGGTGCTGGAATGGGGCACTCACCCCCCTACACACACAGAAGGCAGGCAGCTACAAGAAGCCAGTACACCTGTTATCTGCCCACATTGCTGGAACACACTAGCACACACTCTGTGGTCTAAAACAAGACACGTAACTAGAGTAGGGCTCAGCATTTGAGCACGTGCCTAGCATGCTCAAGGCCCTAGGTCAGATCCTCAACACCTTATACACAACAAAAAGTAAACAAATAAGGCCGGTGAGATGACCCAGCAGGTAAAGGCATTTGCCACTTAGACAACTTGAGTTTGATTCCTGAATCCCACATGGTAGCGGGAAAGAATGAACTCCCACAAGCGGTCCTCTGGGCGCCACACTGTGGCACACATGCATGCACACACACATGCATACATACACAATAAATAAATGTTTAAAATTAACAAATAAAAACAGTTGTCCTGCAGTTCTGCTGGTCAGAAACCTGAAGAGACAGGACTAACAAGGTATAGCTAGAGCTGGCCCTCCAGGGGCCTCCAGGGGCAAGTCCCATCATACCTTCAGCTCCCAGCTGCACCGCATCGGTTGGTTTGGTCCTCCTCTACCGCTGCCTCCCTCTGATAAGGATCCATGTGGTTCCCTCATCCCACCAGATAATGCAGGATCATCTCCCATGAAGTCCTTAATCCCAGCTTCAGAGTCCCTTTTACCACAGGATGCAACATGCTTACAAGTTTTGGGAATCAGGATATAGACATCTTGGAAGCTGTCATTCCACCATGAGGGAGTGTGGGAGAAGTTTGGACCTCCTCTGGGGTGAGGGGGCCAAGAGGGCAGTGGTGGCCATGAGCTGGCCAGAAGCAGCAGCCTCAGAACTGGAGATCTTTTGAAGGGCTTCTCCTCCCCCAGGTGGCAGAGGCAGAGGTGGGCTGGGCTGTGTGCAGGCTGGACTTAAGGGGTATGCTAGAGATATATATAGGGTCCAGGTTCAGCCCAAGCCCTGGGCAGCACTCCTAATAAGAACCCTACTGAGTTGTCCCTACATAATTCATAGATGCTCTTTCTGGAGGTTGCAGCGGGCACTTAGTGTCTGTCATACTACTGTTGACCCCATGCCAACTGTGAGGTGGGCAGTCTGAGAAGGCACTTGGCTGATTGATAAGCAGGTCCCTTAGCTAGGCATCCCAGCATCCTCCTGAGCAGCAGGATACCTAGCAGCCAGGGTCCACACAGTACTGTCTTCTGGGGCAAGAACCCTTCAACAGCACACTGCAAAGCTGGCCCTATCTTCAATGGGATGGACCAGCCTTTGTGTCACTACCTGTGCTGATCAGGCAAGTCCTCATCAGCCCTGAGAAATCCCAGGAGAGTGGCCTCAGACAGAGAGATCCATGCAGCCACTGTGTCTTGGCAGAGCATCCTGTGTCCAGGCCCCTGCCCTCATGCCTAATTCAGGCCCAGTGTGACAAGTCCACAGCAGCACCAATCTGTGGTGGCCAGCCATGCCTGGGCACCTGTACCTCTCCGGATCTTTTGGTATCTGTTGTGCCATCAGGAGCACCATGTGCCTCTGCAGACACAAGCAGACTGAGGAGGAGGGTGGCCCTACCGGATATGCCCATGGAGGTTATAGGGGCTTCTCCCTTTTCTTGTCCAGCTTGCAACTTGGCTGCTGCAGAGATGGGTTTGGTTCAGGGTAGAAGACAAATCTCCAGAGAGAAGACCACCCACCCTTCTGTGGCTCTAGGGATCAGCTGTAAGGACAAAAGAAAAGTGAATAAAATTCCATTTTTTCAAACGAGAGCTGATTTCTTTGCTTTCCCTGTTTGCTCTTCTCAGAGCCCAGCTCATCTAACCCTGGACGCCTGTCCTCAAGGACCTCAGGTTGAAGGCACTTGCTTTCCCTGACCCTAGTCTTTTCTTCAGCTCCTGGTCATGGCCAGGTGCCCAGCTCTCATGTGGACATGGCAATAGCTTTAAGGAGCCTCCATCCCTACCCATCTAAGCAAGGCTCACTCTAGCCCACCTACATCTCTAGAGCCCTCCGTAGCTCCCCAGGACCATCTAAGGGAGTCCAGCAGCCACATAGGCTCTGTCCTTGGGCCTCTTCTCAACTGGGTAACATTCTGGTGATCCTTGAGGCCCAACTGAGCCTCACAGAGCCATCATCGTGTGGGGCTGTGTAGGCAAGTGGATATACCTCAAGTGGTGACCAAGATCCTGAGCTAAGTCAGCATGAGGCCAGGACCCCTAAATGCTGGTGCTGCAGGAGGAACCTGCAGTGAATGGGGTCTCTGTGTCCTGATGAGTAGCTGGCCACTGTCCTCCGCTTCTTAGGCCCCTGAAGAACACCAACAGCAAATGTCAGTGTTCATTACTTTTCTCATTGCTCTTATAAAACACTTAGCAGAAACAACTGAGAAGAGGATTTCATTTGGTTTACAGTTTCAGGGAATACAGTCCAACGTGGGGAGAGGGCATGGTGGCTCCACCCGTGGCAGGAGCTCGTGGCATGGCTTATTCATATCAAGGTGGATATAACCCTTGTGGCCCTCCCCAGTGACCTACTTCGACCTAGGCCCCACGTCCCAAATATTCCACACTGCCAAAATGGCACCATCAGCTGGGGATCAAATGTTTAAGCACATTTGACCATAGGGGACATTTCATTATTCAAACTCTGACAGTGATCTTCTAGCGAGGCTGAGTCTCTGAGGCATCTCCCTGTCTGCATAGCTCAGGACTAGGCACAGACAGACAGGTCAGTTGGATCCTGGTCTCTGAAGGGCTTAAGTTAGAGCACAGGAGGCATCTAACTGACCTGCCCTGGGGCCAGCCTGAGGGTAAGAGATAGCTTATAGAGAAGGGGTTGGCCTAGGTAAATGCCACAGGAAGCCATGCCTGGATACTCACTCAATCTGGTGGGCTCTAAGCCTCCCAAGTTCTCTTAAGAAGAATTAAAATACAAGATCTCAGCTTAGGGCAAGTGTGGCCTGATGCAAGCATCCATGACATCCTTTGCTTCAGGATATATGTCCATGTGAGCTTACAGTCCTATGAAGTAAACACAGGCTCTAGGAACAGGTACCTTCTCTTTACTTTCAGTGACAGATGTGTCCACCCAGTAAGCCTTCCCTAACCATGCCCATCAGTATCCAGGGGGGCCCAGGCTCACCCTTCCCCAGGACAAGGGGGCTTCAGAGATCCCCCACCTGTCACAGGCAGGTTTTTCTTGGGAGTTGGGCCACTATGACTACCTCTGGCCAGGTAGGAACATCCAAACCACCTTCACTACTTAGAAGATGAGTTCCCTGGCAGTGCAAGGCAGTGTCAGGAGCTGGGGTTTTGTCCATGTCGGCTGCTGGGGAAGGGACCCTGGCTGGCAGCAGCACAGTCTGTCTTGATCCTCCCTGCACCTTGGTCCCTTCTACACGTGGTGTTTGTGGCCTTTCCAAGCCAGGATACACAGTTCTCAGTTCATACAAGCTGGGCTTAACCCCTGACTGGCCACTTAAAGAGGAGTATTAGGATGAGACCACACATACTACCACCACCACCACCGCCATAGTCAGGACGTGGTAAAGGAAAGCTGGCCTGGGAGGGGTGGGATGCATCTGGAGAACAGCAGTCCCTGCATAACGCAGTCAGCTCTGTGGGTGGGGCTGCAGAGAGTCCAGCTACCTGCAAGGCAGGGGAGGGTCTGAGCCGAGAAGTAACCAGGTCCATCCCGTGCCCTTCATCGCAAGACCTGGTCTTCCTCAGGCCAGTCCCACCTCTTGGCCTAGCCCATGTCTCCTCTCTGCCCTCAGAGGAACCAATTTACTGTTATACTCCGCACAACTTCACCCGCGACCAGGCACTGTATGCCCGCGGCTACTGCTGGACAGAGCTGCGGGACGCGCTGCCCGGTGTGGATGCCAGCCTGTGGCCATCGCTGTTTGAGCACAAGTTCCTGCCCTACGCACTGCTGGCCTTCGCCGCCATCATGTATGTGCCCGCGCTGGGCTGGGAGTTCCTGGCTTCCACCCGCCTCACCTCTGAGCTCAACTTCCTGCTGCAGGAGATCGATAACTGCTACCACCGAGCAGCCGAAGGCCGTGCCCCCAAGATCGAGAAACAGATCCAATCCAAGGGGCCCGGCATCACAGAGCGTGAGAAGAGAGAGATCATCGAGAACGCTGAGAAGGAAAAGAGCCCTGAGCAGAATCTGTTCGAAAAATACTTGGAGCGCCGAGGCCGCAGCAACTTCCTGGCCAAGCTGTACCTGGCACGCCATGTGCTCATCCTGCTGCTCAGCGTGGTGCCCATCTCCTATCTGTGCACCTACTATGCCACCCAGAAGCAGAATGAGTTCACCTGTGCCCTAGGCACCTCACCTGACGGGCCGGCGGGGGGCGCTGGTCCCACAGTACGTGTCAGCTGCAAGCTGCCATCTGTGCAGCTGCAGCGAATCATTGCAGGCGTGGACATTGTGCTGCTCTGCTTCATGAACCTCATCATCCTCGTCAACCTCATCCACCTCTTCATCTTCCGGAAGAGCAACTTCATCTTCGACAAGCTGCACAAGGTGGGCATCAAGACGCGACGGCAGTGGCGACGCTCACAGTTCTGCGACATCAACATCCTAGCCATGTTCTGCAACGAGAACCGCGACCACATCAAGTCGCTCAACCGGCTGGACTTCATCACCAACGAGAGTGACCTCATGTATGACAATGTGGTGCGGCAGCTCCTGGCAGCCTTAGCTCAGTCCAATCACGACACCACACCTACAGTGCGAGACTCGGGCATCCAGACCGTGGACCCCAACATCAACCCTGCAGAGCCTGATGGGTCTGCTGAGCCACCCGTGGTTAAGAGACCCCGAAAGAAGATGAAGTGGATCCCCACCAGCAATCCGCTGCCACAGCCCTTCAAGGAGCAGCTGGCCATCATGCGTGTGGAGAACAGCAAGACCGAGAAGCCCAAGCCTGTGCGAAGGAAGACTGCCACGGACACACTTATTGCCCCGCTGCTGGACGCTGGTGCCCGTGCAGCCCACCACTACAAGGGTGGTGGAGGTGATACAGGCCCCTCCCCAGCCCCACCTCCCGCCCCTGACAAGAAGCATGCCCGTCACTTCTCCCTGGACGTACATCCCTACATCCTAGGCACCAAGAAGGCCAAGCCTGAGGCAGTGCCTGCTGCCCTGCCCACCTCCCGGAGCCAGGAAGGTGGCTTCCTGTCCCAGACAGAGGAATGTGGGCTAGGCCTGGCTGCAGCACCCACCAAAGGTAGGGAGTCAGGCAGGTGGGTGACACAGGGGGGCAGATTCCCAGGGAGCCCCAGACAGGAAACTGACAGAGTCCCTGTGTCTAGGGCATGAGAGGAGGGAGCACCAGAGAACAGTGTAGATGAGGAGAGGGACTGGGCTAGCTCATAGCAAGACCAGCTTGTGTGCTCTTGCTATAGTGAGGTGCAGGCCCAGAAGGATCCTGGACAACCCCACAAAGCAGAGGATGGTGGGGGGCTACAGCCATCAGAGAACTCGGCTCCTCTGGTTAGTAAAGGCCTCGGATGGGAGCCCCTGGGAAAAAATTCTGAAACAGCACTGCAGTTCCTCAGTAGTGAGACTCAGTCAGGCAGGCTGCTGAGTACAAGGGTACTCACCATCTGTGAGGTTGGGTGCCCAGCAGGGCCCATGGGTGGCACTGGGGTGTTATAGCAGTGAGTGAGGTGGATTGTGAGATGCCTGTGTTCCCGCCTATTTTCAGATGCTCCGCTCCCCGAGAAGGAAATCCCATACCCCGCAGAGCCTGCCTTGCCAGGCCTTCCATCTGGGGGCCCATTTCACGTCTGCTCACCCCCTGCAGCCCCTGCTGCTGCCCCCCTATCACCAGGCAGTCTGGGCAAGGCTGACCCCCTCACCATCCTGAGCCGAAATGCCACTCACCCCCTGCTGCACATCAGCACGCTGTATGAGGCCCGGGAGGAAGAAGAAGGAGGCCCCCGTGCACCCCCAGACATGGGCGACCTCCTTGCCATCCCCCCACCCCAGCAGATCCTCATCGCCACCTTCGAGGAGCCAAGAACAGTCGTGAGTACTGTGGAGTTCTGAGGGGCAGAGCCATCAGGCCACCAAAAACCCTCAGCCAGGGATGGCTGATCCCAGCCCTGAGTGGACATGGCCTCTGCTCGCCTGGTATTGCCCACACCCCCAGACTCCTGTCTGCATGCCACGGGGCCCAGCACCCCTTCCACCTGCCTCAATGTGGCATCCACGTGTGCAGGCTGGGGCTAGAGCACGAGGTGGGGCAGGGTGCCCACCCCAGCATCAGACACTCCCCTGAGGTGCTGGGCTACAAGATGAAGAGTTTATTTTTTTAGTGGGTTTTGGTGTGGGCGGAGACTGTGGCAGGACAACTCAGTACACCCAGGTTGGGCCCAGCCCAGGGCAAGTGAGGAGGATGCTGGCAAAGGTGGCACTGGCCTCAGGACAGACCCCCGGGGTCACTCACTCAGGGGTTTGGCCCCTGCAGGGACCTGATGCCCTCGGGTGGGGGGCCGAGGGCTGCCCCAGGTCCAAATCAACATGCACTTTCTCCTCACAGCCTGACATACACTTTATTTTATTATGATTACTGTAACTGATGAGCATATTTATCATCAGGAGACTTAGGATGAGTTTAAAGCAAAGGATGGTGTGTGTGAGTGGGCCGTAAACAGAGGTGGGTGTGAGCGTGCAAGTGTGAGTACAGTATGTGCCTAAGTAGAATGGGTTTGCTGGAGGGCAGAGTGCCTGTGTGCAAGCAAGCTCACGAACAAGTAGGGGGTAACAGGTGTGAGTGAGCTTGAGTGTATGTGAGTGTGCAAGTGGCACCCACATGTGAGCAGTAGTCGAGAGCAGGCACGGGCACCAGTGCGAGAGTGAGGGAAAGAATCCAACGCAATAACCACATCCCCCTCCCGGGTCCCCAGCTGCTGGCTGGGCTGCTTCCCATGGGAGCCCAGGCCCCACTGGCCCCACCCCTATTACCTCAGCCAGCGCCACTTGACGCAGTATTAACAAGGTAGCACTGAGCATATCAATAAATACTATTCTGATAACTGCCTGTGCTTCAAGGCCCTGCCTCCCTGAGCTGGTGCCTCCTGCCCAGCCTGCAACACCCATCAACACCTGGGCATTACTTGGGGCCACTGAGGACCAGTGGGGAGGGTCAGGCTGCCCAAGATGCAGGGACATCAGGCCTCCACCCAGAAGTGTGAGGAAGGGAAGCATGGGTTCTGGGTTGGGGGGCTCTGGGAGGCCAGGGCATTTGGTGGGCTCTCTTGGCGGGGCATGGCATGGCCTCAGGTCCTGTTGGGCATATTACCAGGGAAGTACAGAGCTGGCAGGATCCAGGATGCACTCATGTTCATCAGGAGGTTCACAGCAGGGGCTTCAACCTCAGGCTCAAGGCTCAGTGAGACAAAGCTGGCCCTGTGGAGCTACCTGTCCTGCAGGTGACCCCATGGGTCTGAACAGAGACTCCTAGAGACCAGTGGCTGAGGCAGTTAGAACAGGAGCCCAAGAGGTTCAAGGACATAGGCCGTGGGTCAACAGAGTGGGGCTAAGTCGAGTTCAGAGCAGCCACCTCTGCTTGGACCTTCTGAAAACTCCTTAACCAGCCCTGGAACAGCCCTGAGGTGGGCAGAGCAAGATGTCCTCAATGTCCCCAGGAGCCAAGACAGTCCATCCTCCACTACAGCAGCCACCAATCTGAGCCTGAGCATAGCGCACATTGGAGTCCACATTCTGGTTTATTTTTTTTAAATGTTCTATTATTTCAGGCTTGGTGGGGCATGCCTTTAATCCCCGCACTTGGGAGTCAGAGGCCAGCTTGTGAGAGCAAGGCCAGCCTGGTCTACATAGAGAGTTCCAGGCCAGCGGGGGTACAAGGAGACCCTATCTCAAGAAAAGTTCTGTTACTATCCACTTCTGCTGAGGACAGATCAAGAGACCCTGGTCATTGGCTTTGCTAGGGGGATGCTGAGGATGAATCCCAGGGCCTTGCATATGGTAGGCAAGTACTCTACCACTGAGTACACCCCGGGTCAGATACCTGTCATGGAAAAGGCAGTTTATTGCTCACAGATCCTGGAAGGGGCACCCCACACCACACAGGGTCACACAGGGGAGCACCATAGTCAGTAGGAATGAAATACCTCCCCCGTGGCTTCCAGGTGGGGCAGGTGAGAGGCACAGGATCCTCCAGTCTGAATAGCTTCAGTGGGTACTATGTTTGGGGCTGTGCCTAGTTCCTGCTGTGGAGTGACTGGGACAGGTGGACCATGGCCCATAGTGTGGGAATGGGGCAGTGATGGGGCTGCACACTTACCAGCTCTAGGATGTGGTCTGTCTTAGGAGGGGCAGCCTGTCTAGAGTCAGCAAAGCTCCATGTCAGAGAATCAGAATACAGAAATAGCCAGGCATGGTGGCACCGGCCTTCAATCCCAGCACTTGGGAGGCAGGTGTATCTCTGTGGATTTCAGACCAGCCTGGTCTACATAGTAAGTTCCAGGACAGCCAGGGCTATATAGTGAGACCTTATCTTTAAAAAATAAATAAATAAACAAGCCGGCATGGTGGCGCACGCCTTTAATCCCAGCACTCGGGAAGCAGAGGCAGGTGGATCTCTGTGAATTCAAGGCCAGCCTGGTCTACATAGTGAGTTCCAGGACAGCTGGGGCTACAGGGAGACCCTGTCTTAAAAAG